GCTCTCCAGGCAGCTCTTCCTTATGATTATTTGCTTACAAGTTACCTTAACTGTAACTCCTGTTTGCTCTGACAGTCTCTTCAGTAGTTATGTTTTATTACCTCTAAAATGACAGGGACAGACCCCAAATCCCTGAGGTTTGGCTCAGAAATAATGAGGAGGGCCTAAAGCCCTTCTTGGTGCTGCTTGTTGTTTGGGTGCATCTCCCATGGTACTTGGAGTCTATGTGTTTATCCACTTTGAGCCCTGGTATGAAGACATGGTGAGCAAGGGAGGGTGTATGTGTCCATCAAGGTTGTTTGTGTGAAGATTTTTGAGGAAACTCTTAATTGTACATTTTAAAACCTCCAAACCCAAGAATTTTAAACCTGCAGCTCTCCTGGCTTCACTAATGTAACAGGAGGCAACAGGTTTAACAAGCAGCTTCTCCTTGACAAATTCTGCAGGTTACATGCCTGGAAAACTCAGTGATTTATTATTAAACCAGGTTAAACTTTGCCAGATAAGTTGGAGTAAAACACTTGTGCCCTCCACGCAGACACCTCCTTGCCTAGCAAGCAAATCCCTATCCCATAGTACCTGCTACAGCCCATGTCTGTCCCACCACATCCTTTGGGTCTCCTTAACAGTGATGTCTCTTCTGAGTTTTCAGGAAGAGTTTAAGATATTCAGTGTACCTAACTCTGATTACAAAGAAATGTAAGTGCCCTGTCAGTGCTTGTCACTGCTTGCTTCAGTGCTTAAGTGTCCTCTATGTGCTGGAAACAGTAAAGTAAGTAGGAAAACAGCCCCTGATGATGATGGAGTAGCAGTTTTGGGTTTTTGTTGTGGTTTTTTTTTTTTAAGCAGGAAATTGCCTATTGGCCTCAGGGCCAAAGCATAAGCAAGTTTTTCAGAGCCAAAATCCAGGCTCTAAGAAATAGGGAGGAAAATATATTTTCCCACCAGCAGCTGCTTGCAGCCTCTGTTTACCCCATGGATCACCATATCCTGCAGCCTCATGGGAAGCAGTGGGAGGCAATAGCCACCTTTAGGGCAGCTTCACCTCTATGTGCAGTAAAGAAATGGTGATTAAAACCTTCAGGTCACTAAGCGGAGCTAGTGATAATATTGGAGAGGGGAAAATTGTTTCACTGATGAACCCAGACCCCCCATCCCATCAGCTCCTCAGTGTGTGGGGCAGCAGCAGCTGCTTGGTGGTGAGCACCCCACTTTGCTTAGAGACTGGCTTAACAAGAACTCCACTTTTTTTTTTTCTTGTCCCCCATCACCATGACACACGCCCAAAGCTGCGTCAGCCTAGAAAACAGCAAAGTGGGCTGTGCTAAGACCTGTATGTAGATTTGCCCCTCTTTGGCTTGAAAGGTTATTTTAAACAGAGATGATAAAACTGGTGATGGAGTTTTGCAGAGAAGGTGCCTTTTCCATCTAATTAAAACTAAATGGATGTATTAAGTTTCTCCTTCCGTCTACTGTAAAGATAAAAATCCCATTGCAGAACCCAGGCTTGTGCCACGGTGCCAGAGAGCTTTGCTCCTCAAGGGGAGAAGGGCCTCGCCAGCAGGCAGGCACATGATCATCCCATTCCCAGTGCTCCTCCCAAGCCACCAATGTTTATTTACTGCTCCTGGCTCTCCCCATGGTCTCCCATGACCTGATACATTCCCAGCGTCTAACAAGGCTTGTGTCTTGGTATGTGAAGATGTGGATAAACCCAGCTGCTTGGTGTCCCAGGCTGAGCAGGAGGAAGGTGGTAAAACAGTTCCCCAAATTATGTGCCCTCACTTGGGCACATCCCACCCTTCTGCCAAAGCCTGTTTCCTTCAGCGGTTTGTGTGCATGATGCCAGGGTCCCCCTTCCCTCCCCAACAGGGTGGCAGCACATCCTGCTTGCTTTTCTGAGTGGAGGGTGACAGGGACCTCTGCAGCCATGTCCACTCGTGTCTTCACAGGGACAGAAATTCAGGGGGACTGGCCCAAGAGTAACAAGGGATACTCTGTTTGAACACCAGGCAATGAAAGCTTTTTTCTCAGCCCTCAGATCATATTAAACGCCTCCTGATGTGCTCGCTCCTCTCTGCTCTGCACAGACTGTCCCTGGAGAGAAGCTGGAGAGATGAGTCCTGGGTGTCCCTGCCAGCAGGGGATGGCAGAGCACAGGCACCAGGTTGCCATCCCCTGCCGTGCCAGCAGCAGAGGTGAGTAAAGCAACCAGAATTTCCCTACATGTTTCCAAGGGTTTTTCAGCATCCTCGGCATGTGTGTGCATGTGTACAATTACAGTAATTACCTCCCTGCTATCTCACTGTCCATCTCCACTAATGCTTTATTTTCTGCATACCTGGTCCAGACCATCACAGGGGTATTTGGAGAGGGGAACACCATAGATCTGGGGCAGATCACAGGAAAGTGAGATTTAATCCCAGGGCACTGGGGCTTTGGAGGTGTTTCTACCCTAGACTTGTGCAGTAACACTTGCTGCTTCTCATCCCCCACCTCCAGACACACTCCAGACCAAATCCCCCATCAGGGATGGTTGAAATCACTACTGCTGTAAGCAGCTGCAGCAAAGGAATCTGGCCCCATTTCTATGCCAGTAGCTCATCTATGACAAAACAAAACTTGTTCTTCTAGACAGCTTCCCTGAACTGCCCTCCCAAAAGCACTAATGCTGCTCCTGGAAAGCTGCCACAGTGTCCCTCTAACTGCAAGTCACTTGGATGCCTGCTGGGAAACCCAGCAGGAACATATAAAGAACAAAATATTTGCCTTTGTGGATTCCCTACTCTTTTTCCCTGAGTGCTGGCAAACATCCTTGCAGGTGCAAGGTTTTGTGCATCTGGAGAAGAGTCCAGTGGGAGGGGAAGGCTGGGAGACATAGCCTGCACAAACCCCAACAGTGTCAAAGATGTGCAAGGCTTGTTGCGCATTCACCTCAGTAACTGCGTCCAACTGGCCTGGGAGAGCAAAATCTGAGTTTTGATCTGAAGTTTGATTTCACAGGCTCCAGCCCCTGCAAGCGCATCACTCTTGGCCATTGCTTATGGAGCTGTGCTGGAGCGTGGCTGGCACAGACAGCCCCAGACCAGGCACGTGCTCCGAACCTGATGGGGTCAAACCCAGGAGCCAGGCATTGGGCAGAAGCAGTGGTAAATCCTGGGGTGGGGAAGCCTGAGAAGGCTGTTGTTTTCTCATGGGTGCTGCAGATGGGTGTCAGCCCAGCCTGCCACACTCCCAGCCGTGCCCCAGCACAGGGGCCGTGAGTCCTGTCCCTCCATGAACCAAACATGTTTTGTTCAGGTGCCTGGGTCTGCCACAAAGCTCAGCAGACTTTTCCTGTTGCTAGCCTTCCTTGTTACCAATGTGCATCTTATTTCCACTTCTAGTTTCAACTCCCAGCTATCTCATGCCTCTGCAGTTTTGAATGCAGGCTCTGAGAAGATGTCTCTGTTGGATGGAGCTGCTTTATTTACCACCCTCTGTTCTGCAGACCTCAGATGGATTTCCCCCACCCCCCCACCCCTTCCCATGCAGCCTCCTTGGTTATTCAAACAATTTGGAGCTTAAAGAGCTAATAGCAAATTTGGGATCATTTACCCCTGGAAGATACCTGGATGGGTGCTATGTCCTGCATTGATATTTCAGCTAACATTTCCACTTTCTTTGTGTTTAGGACCTTGCTACGCTGGTGTTCATGGCCATTTCATGCTCTCCCCGTTTGCATGGGGAGCGTCCTGCCTGCCTGCCTGGCCGTGGGTGGCCACACGTGTGGCTGATGGCATGACAGCCTCTATGAGCAGTGACTGCAGAAACAGCTCTCTAGTTTTTGGAAGGTCCCCTGAGCGCAAGTCCCACCGAAACCCTGCTGTCCATTGTCCACTTTGGCTCCCTTTTGGAAGGCAGTCAAGATGCTAGTGAAAACATCCCGCAGCTGGAGCTGCCCCCACACATGTGGGTCCTCCTGTATGGCTGTGGGAATCAGCTGTGTGACCACTCCAGTCTCTCCCACCCACTCGATCCTCTTTTGGGATCATCAGCCAGGCCATTCAGCTCACTCTGCATGACAGCAGGAGAGTCCAGCTCCTCCTCCCATTGCAAACCTGGGTTGTGCAACCACTGTGGGAGTGGGGTGGCCACAGCGGGGGGAGCTGCCCACGCTCCCCTGCCTCTGCCAAAGCGCCATGTCTTGCCTGTAAATCAGGAGCAGAAGGGGCTCTCCCTGCGGTAAGATGGAGCATGAGCAGCCAAGGCTAGGAGGTAAGCGTCCCCAGGGGGCTGCAAAGCCTTTCGATCCCTCCCTGCCCCATGCAAGCATCCCATGGCTTGACACTTCTGAAATTAGCTGATATGAATACTTGCAGGGACAGTATGGAAAGTGTAGCAGCAACAGGGGTGGGGTGGCCGAGGCAGTATTTCCTGGATGTTATTTCTAGCTTCTCTGCAAAAGGGTAGGGAATTAAATAGCATATATAGCTGGGAGATGTTTGTGATATAAGTTAACTCCCACCACACAAAAACAACAACAACAAAAAAAAAACCAAAAAAAACAACCCCCCAAAAAACCCAAAACAGTTAACAATGAGCAGCTTATGCTGCACCTGGCCATCATCCCTTGTTTCATTGCCCACCACTGTCAGGAAGGGTTTGGGTCCACCATCCCCACTGCAGCCCTGGAAACCTCGTAGGGCTGGATGTCGACCCGGGGGCTGCTGCCTTTTGAGCCCTGGGGTCAAGCCATTTGCAGCCCTGCAACAGTCTGTCTGTCCAGCCCAGACCTCCCCAGCAGGGTGGCTTTGGGAGACAGACACAAAACCAACAGGACCCATCCCCCCTTCCTGCAGGAGCTGCAGCTTTGCAAGCTGGGGAGCGGATCAAGCTCAGCTCCAGCGGGTGGGGAAGGTGTGTGAGAGCTTGCTGGGTGCTGACCTCTCCCAGCTGCGCTTCCCCAGATCAGAGGAAGGGGAGTGGGGGGACAGTCCCCACCCTAGGGCGCAGGGCTGATGCACCCCAGGGTGCCATGCCAGGAGCATGCTGAGGCTGGCCGGCCAAGCCTGTACCCGTCAGTCATCGGCAACACCTTGAAGGAGATATTGGTGTTTGACTTTTCCTACCCCAAGCATTTCCCAGTGTTCCTGCCCAACACCCAGCTCCTGGACTACCTCTGGCACTATGCTGAGCGCTTCAGCCTCCAGGACCACATCAAGTCTGGGGTGAGTGATGGGTGCCCAGCGCTGCCCCGCTTCCCATGCACGCTGGGCACTGGTGCTTGGCACCCTGCTTGGCTTCCACGTTTCAGACCACTGTTGTCAGCATCTGGAAATACCCCAACTTTGCCACCACGGGCCAGTGGGATGTGGTTACAGAGGTGGATGGGAAGCAGTCATTGAACATCTTTGATGCTATTATGGTTTGCAGTGGCAATTTCTCTGAGACATCCCTCCCCCTGCACTGTTTTCCCGGTATGGTACACAGCTGCCTGTGGTTACCTGCTTCCAGGGGCTGGGGGAAGAAGAAGGATTAGTGATTCCTCAGGAAAATGCTTCCTTCCTTTTCTTGCTTCTGCTTTTCAAACCTCTTGGCATGAACAGCAATACATCCTTGTGCTTCAGCAGCCACCTTTTTGCAGGTGCTGGTCAATTCAGAGCAAACTTCCAAGGTAGGATGGTTTAGCCTCAGAGAAACTATCCACACAGTATGCAAGATGGGACAAGGTCCTCTCAGTGAAGCTCCACCATCTTTGACAGGGCTGTATTAATCACTGCTGTGATGAATCTCCCCAGCCGTCAGCAACAAGGTTGCCTTGCCATCAGCATTATCAAGTGCTTCTGAAGCTGCCTGTAGGACAGGAGGTCTGCAGTCTTTTCTGAACCTCTGCCTCCTCATCTTGTAGAGGCTGAATCCCAAGACTGCACCAGCACAGCTCTTGCTGTGGCCCCATTTTGGAGAGGAAGTACCAAGTCTGTGTGCGTGGGATGGAGGGCTGGACCTCCTCAAGTCCCCAGTGTCCACTGATTGCGCTTCCTTGCTCTTGCCATCTGGATTGTTTCTATGCCAGTTCTACCAACAAAAACCACAAATGTTCAAATAATTAAAAGCTTTGTTTCTTTTTCCCCAAGGCATCAAGAGGTTTCAAGGCCAGTACTTCCACAGCCAGCAGTACAAACATCCCAATGTGTTTCAGGGGAAGCGTGTCCTCATGGTCAGCATGGGCAATTCAGGAGTGGGCATTGCAGTGGAGGCCAGTCATGTAGCTGCAAAGGTACCACCACCCAGCCACCCCAGGGGTGTGGGGAGGGTGATGCTGGGGGCAATAGCTCAGTTTGCTGTCACCGCAGGGAGAGCAAGCTGAGTTTACCCTGCATAGTGTCCAAACAGTATTTCTGAACCTGTATTTCTTGGTCAAAAATCTACGCTGAAAGAAAGTTGGTTGTTCTCTTCTTTCCTGTTTCACCTCCACTGCCAGCTGCTGGGAGGTCTTGAAGATGCTGTTGCTGCTTTTTCATTGCGTAGCTGTCTGTGCCATGCCCCTCTGGGGTTACTTTATGAAGGCAAAGCAGCAAATTCATCACCCAATTCGTTGATTTTTCCACACTCTCCCAGGTGATTGTTTGCACCAGCCGAGGCACCTGGGTGGTCAGCTGCATGTTTGACCATGGCTACCCATGAGACATGGTTTTCAACATTGGCCTTATGAGCTTGATCAGAAACAGCCTTCCCGGACCCCTTTCGCAGGGATTCATTAACTACAGGGTGAACCAGTGGTTCAAGCATGAAAACTATGGCCTTCAACAAGAGAAGAGGTACTTCTTGGTGGCTCCTATCCCATGTGGTGTCAGAGGGCTTCTGCTGCAGGCAGGGGGGAGATCTCCACCAACCAACATCAACCAATGCAGCAAACAGCACCCAGAGTGGAGTTTGTAGCCCAGCAGAAGATGATAAGCGGTAGCCCCCTTAGGTGGTGTGAGATGGAGCACACTGGAAAAGCCCAGGAAGGACCAAAGGAGTTTTCCCTCATTAAGCTCCCTGGGAAAAGAGGAAGAGGGAGGCGTAAAGCATTGATCAGCTCTGAAAAGAGATGGTGTGAAGAGTAAGTGAGTGAATGGAGGAAGAAGGCAGGAGATGTCCATGAGTCACTCAGGCTGTGGGACAGGGTGACATTGCTACAAGGGTGAAATATGTTAGTTTTTGGAGAGGCGGGGGAGGTAGGGCTGTTTGCTCAAAGCAAAGGAGACCGGGAGGTCATGGGGCTGGAGGACCCAGGGGGAGGAGGAGCAGGGGCACTGGCAGGACTTGTTCATGGTCTCCAGTGCTCAGAGCCCCTTGTCTCTCCAGAGATGCCTGGTGTGTGAGCCTGTGCTGAACGACAACCTTCCAAGCTGCATCCTGTCAGGGAGGATCACCATAAAGCCGGGTGTGAAGGAGTTCAAGGACAATTTGGTTGTCTTCCACAATTGCCCTGAGGAGACCATTGATATCATCATCTTCTGCACAGGCTACAATGTCTCCTTCCCATTCCTAGAAGAAGCAGTCGTCAAGGTGGAAAACAAGCACGTGTCCTCTACAAATACATGTTCCCAACCCCCTTGTGGGGGCCCACCTTGGCTGTCCTAACTTGATTACAAGCCATTAGGAGCCATCATGCCCATGACAGAGATGCAAGTGTGCTGGGTGACCCATGCCTTCAAAAGTAGGGGAGCTAATGTGAGCTCTACAATGTACAGAAATGCAGTTCAAACTGGACACGTCTTGTCCCTTCCATGCACCTGGGGGGATTTCAGTCCTTGGGGACCCCAAAGCTCACTTCAAAGTGGACAAGGGAGCATTTCTAGGGCTCAGACTTCCCAAGTTATTTCACTTCAGCTAAGGTACAGCAACATAAGTGCGTGACTGGTCCAAGCTGCATGCAAGTTCATGACATCTACCTTAAATCACTTTTTTTGCCCTTTAAGCTGATGCTTTTAAGCTAGTGCTTTGTATCCCACTTGCTGCAAGCCGAGAGCATGTACTCTGCTCCTTGCTGTGACTCAGCTGATGCACAGTCCTGTACCTGAGCCTGCAAACCATGGTCTAAATTAGGTTGTCCAGGACAGTATTTTCTCTCTAAAATATTTTAGATGTCAGAGCACAGAGATGGATATGTAAACCTGGATGGACAGATAAAGGTTGCCTTTAAGATACTGTGGTGGATCCATCCTGGCAGAATTCACTGCTCTTTAAGGGTCAGGGTGGTTTGTCCACCATGACTACCAGAGGAGAAAAGTCCCATTCCACAAGAGGAATTATTTGTAATTATTGGGGAAATTGAGGAAAGAAACCTACTGGTGTTTGGGGGGGGGAAAGGGGGAGGGTAAGAAATATAATAATAATAACCTTCCATTGGGCTGGTGTGGAGGGCTGCATCAAGGCTCCTCCACAGAGCCAGGGGAACTCTGGGGTTTCTCCTTGGGATGGTGATCTCTGGGGCTTGCACAACCCATTTCACCCCACATCATCTGCCTGTGCCCCAGCAGCACAAATCTGTAAGAGCAGGAAAAAGTGCAGGTGAATTTGTACCACCATGAAAGGCTGGTCTCTGGCGAATCACCACTGCCAAGCTAAATCCAGCTATAAGGCTTTCCTGCCCTCCCAGGGAAGGGTTTCCCACATTTTGCATTGCTGAATGAGTTCCCAAGTCCCCCCAGAAGTTAAACTCTGCAGGACGCTCTCCTCTTTTCTAGGCTTGTGTTGGTTGCCTCCTCAGTCTGTCATGGAGAAGGAAGTAAATGAGAAGAAGAAAAACCAGATGCGAAGGTAAGCCAGTCCCCAGAGCCCTGAAGGTTTTTCGGTGGATTGAAAAGCCCCTGGAGTATGGGGGGCAGAAACACAGCTCACACGCTGTGGCTGCTCTCTGCATGTATAGCAGAGGCAAGGGGGGGATGCCCAGATCCAGCCACCCCCTTATTTGCTTTCACTGAGCCAATGTAACCTTTGATTTGACAATGATATTTTGCCTGTTGATGACAGGAAGAAATGAATTCAGGGTAGTCGAGACTAAAGCTTGCTTGGGAGTTGGGGAAGTGTGCTAGGGTCCCCAGAGACTGAGATAAAATGGCAGAGAAATTAATGGTAATAAATGCAAAGTAATTCAGCAGGGGGGGGAAAAGCCAACCTGAGGTGTACATACAAATTGTCTCACGTCTTATCATGGGGATCTGAATCATGGTGAATAGGTGTCTCAGCACATCGGCACATAGTTCGTGGGTAGGCAAAGCATCAAATCAGAGGCTAAGAATTATTAGAAAATGAATTAAATAAACCCAGGAAACTAGGTGATGTATTAATCCATGGTTCATCTAGATTGCTGTAGTAGAAAAGGTATAGAGGGGATGCCAAGTGAGCGCCTGCCCAGTGCAGGCAGCACACGGGGGTATGGATCAGGACAACCCCAAGCTGCTGCCAAGGCTGGGGCAGTGGTGAGCAACAGCGTGGGAGTCCTTGCAAGCCCAGTTCCCTTGGGATTATGGTCCAGATTTGCACACAGCACCGCCACGGGGAGGTTGAGAACTTTCTGCCAGCGCATTTAAACACAACAGAGTGGGGGAGCATGGGTGTAAAGGTCGGTGGTGCAAGAGCTGCGGCAAGCTGCCCGGACTTCAGCCTTTCCTTTAAATCTGCGGCTGGAGAAACTCAAAGCAAAGTTCAGCTGAAGCCTGAGCAGTGAAGGCACAGCACTGCCCCACAAGGTTTGCTCCTCGTTTCTCTCTGGCAGGGTTTTGCAGGCTTTAAAAGCAGGCATCCGGCTCTCCGGGCTTTTTGGCATTCGCCTCGGCTTCACCTAGCTGCTGGTGGGGGGAGAGGGGGTGTCGTGGGGACCCTCCGGAGCAAAGTCATCCGTAGGCAGCACTGGAAAACAGGGGTGACTTTAGCACCCCAGGCATGTCACTACCCTTTCCCAAAGCTAAGGGAGGCTCCGGAAAACGGGGGGCGGGCGAGGGTTGATATGTCCTGTCCTCTTCCTGCAGACCAAGGAGCGGCTCAGGCTGGGCTTTTGGATGCAGAGGCTTTTTTTTTTTTTTGCGCCTCCTTCATTTTTCTCTGGCTTTCTGCAGTTTCCTCTAGTTCCTGTTTATGTTAACTTACTTTCTGACACAAAACATGTAGGAAAAAAGTTACAGATGACTCTTCCTTCAGACTCTGTAGTAGGAGTGTTTGTTACGTAATCAAGGTTCATGCGGGTTCATTTTTTTCCTAGTTTCTTTGCTTTCCAGTCAAGCTCAGTGCAGCTCAGTTTACACACCCCAAGCTTTGAGTTCCTCCCATTTATACCCTGTGTTTCCTGGGTTTCTTACCTTTTGTATATTCTATAATCCCAGCTGCACTTTCCCGGTGCTGTCTAACTTCTGAATCACTGCACTGTGCTCTTGCTCAGTCAGGCATCACTTTTTCCTTTTAAAAAACCCTTTTTGTTTTCGAGAAAATGCCCTTTAATGGAAAATTAAAAAGGAAAGCGTGAAAATGAGCCAGCTTAGCTGAAATTGCTTCTTGAAAAGGTTTCAGGAGGATCGCTTTGTGCAGGCAGAAGCAGACAGCTGCGAGCCCCTTTGCGTTCTTTGCATGCCCTGGTGTGGGCCAGGAAAGGGAATAAATAGAAGCAGCAGAGCAGCAAGATTTAAAAGTGCCTCCTTTTTCCCCACCTGCAGGGAGGAATTGCTGGGCCCTTGCTGTGGGCTTAGCACAGAGGGAAGGGTAATGAGCAGCATCCGTCTGTAACGCTTGAGTCAGGAGCTGGTGATGGCTTTCTCCAAGGAGTTTTCCTCCATGGACACCTGCAGCCAGTGAAGACCAGGGTTGTTTTGCTGGGGATGGGAAGAAGGGACTGGTGTTTCTGCTAATTCCTGGGCTATTTTATTTCCAGTTGCTTGCACGCCAGCCCGTTGCCTGCTGGAGGGACAGCATGGTGCGGCGCGTGGCCATTATTGGGGCCGGCGTTGGCGGGTTGGCCTCCATCAAGTGCTGCCTGGATGAGGGGCTGGAGCCCACCTGCTTCGAGAGGAGCGAGGACATCGGGGGGCTCTGGCGCTACACGGTTAGTGGGCTCTGCCTCTGCGGGGAGGTTTGTCCCCTCTCTCCAATGCCCTTTGCCTGCGGCACAGATGAAAGGGTGGCCATGCCCTCCGGGACCATCCCTGTCCCAGGCACGGAGCTCCCCCTAATTCCAAGGTGGAGAAGGAGATGGAGAGAGCAGAAGCCATGGTCACCAGGTGGTAGTCCTGGTTTATTCCTTGTACCCAAAATACAAGGAGAAAGAATACTTAAATACTTTGGGGGGAGAAAGTCCTTCCCCGCACACCTGCAAATGGCACTGCTGGCTTCACACAGGACTCCACAGATGGTGGGAGGGTCAGCGTGTACCGGTCAGTTATCACCAACACCTCCAAGGAGATGTCCTGCTTCAGCGACTTCCCTTGTCCAGAGGATTTTCCCAGTTTCCTACCCCACGGCCTCCTCATGGAGTACTTTCGGATGTACGCCCAGCACTTCAACCTCCTGCGGCACATACGCTTCAAGGTGAGCAGGGACGCAAATGCCATGGGGAGAAGAGCCATCAGTGGCTGCAGATACCAGGGCATTGCCCAGGTGGGACAGGACAATGCCTGGTGCAATCCCATGAGGACCATATGCCTTTTGCATCCTGAGCGCAGCCTTTTTGGCTCCATGTTTTAAATTAGCCTGCTCAAACATGGGCTGCCTGGTGTGTCCCCCCCCCCGCAGGGTGGGATTTAACAGCTTCAGAGGTGACATGCAGCTCCCCAGGGACCCAACCTGCCCCCGGCAGCCCCAGCCCTTTGCAGGCAGGTCCTCTCCGAAATGCAGCACAGTCCCTGACTGCTGTTTTGTTGGGCTTTGGTGCAAGACGACAGCCGTCAGCGTGAGGAAACACCCGGATTTCGCCACCTCAGGCCAGTGGGAGGTGGTGACCGAGACTGACAGTGTCCAGGAGTCACACGTCTTCGATGCCGTCATGGTTTGCACCGGCCATTACCAGGAGCCCTACTTACCATTGGCTTCTTTTCCAGGTAAGCCCTGCCTTGGCAGAAGGGTGGGCTGGGGCTGCCCCCCAGGGTCTCACCCAGCACCCATGTGTCCCTTGGCTGCATTTTCCTCTGTAAGCCTCCCTGCTCCACGAAGCCCCCGCACTGAGGCAGGTGGGACTCCCACCCCGTGGAAATGGTGGAGGTCATTCCTGGGAATAGGAAAAACACCTCATAAAGATGCAGCCAGGGTCTTGCATGGGAATTTGCGAAGCAGAACCGAGCCAAGGAGGTGCAGGAGGGTGGCATCACCTAGGGAGCCAAGACCTCCATGGACTTCTCAGCTGCAAGCAGAGGTGGAGTGCCAGGGGCTGCAGAGGGTCCAGACATGAGGCTGGGGCAAGCAAATGTATCTGGCAGTAGGAGATGCTCCCTGCTCTCTGCCTAGGTATCGACACTCGCTTCAAAGGCCAGTACCTCCACAGCCGGGAATACAAAGATGTGGAGGCTTTCCGGGGAAAGCGGGTCCTCGTGGTTGGCATAGGCAACACTGGTGGTGACCTCTCCGTGGAGCTGAGCCGCGTGGCTGCAAAGGTACAGTTCAGCAGTGGTGCAGAGCCCGGCCAGTGACCATGAGAGCTGGTGGCTCAGGGTACACGCAGGAAGTTTTGCCCACCAGGTTTCTCAATAAATAGCACTTCAAATTGAGGGCAATTGAAGAAGCTCTGCAATTCCTGGAGAGTTTGAGCCACCTGAGGAGTTGCCATTCAGCAGCTGTGGGAACTTTGCAGAAGCCACCACAAGCTGTTCGGTTTATCCAGATACCGTCTCCTTCCCTCGGGATAGCCCTATCGGCTCCCAAGTGCAGGAGATTGGATTTGCAATTCAGGGCAAAACTGGCAACAAGATACCTGGGCAGGAGGCCGAGACCTGCTTTCTCCCCCAGGTGTTCCTCAGCGCCAGGAGCAGCACGTGGGTGCTTAGCCGGGTCTCGGATCATGGCTTCCCCTTCGACATGGTCAACACCACCCGCCTCAACCACTTTCTTGAATGGCTTCTCCCATCAGCCCTCATGAGGAGGATCAGGTTTTGGAAGGTCAATTCGTGGTTTAACCATGAGAACTATGGCTTGGCTTCCACCAAAAGGTGTTTTTTCTGACTATTTTGTTGGTTGGTCAGGGGGTTTTAATGGCTTGAAATGCTCAATTTTTAATTTTAGGGGATATTTGTGGAATAGCAAACCATTGGAGGGGAACTCTGGCCATGAAAGACGTTTCAGGTCCCTCCCAGATGCTAACATTGCTGTTCGCTTTTCCACCTGCAAGCTCCAACTTCAAGGTAATTATCAATGAAGAGCTGCCATTTTGCCTCCTCTCTGGGACCGTTGTGTTGAAGCCAAACGTGAAGGAGTTCACCGAAACCTCTGCTGTTTTTGAAGACGGGACAACCGAAGAAAACATAGATATGGTGCTCTTTGCCACGGGCTACATCTTCTCGTTTCCCTTCCTTGAAGAGTCGGTTCGCAGCCTCTTTGACGATAACCGTTCCCTCTATAAACACATCTTTCCTCCCCAGCTGGAAAAGCCGACACTGGCCATCATCGGCTTAGTCCAGCTGACCGGCTCTGTGATGGTGGGAGCAGAAATGCAGGCTCGCTGGGTGACAGGGATCTTTGCAGGTGAGAGACAGGGTGCAGGGATGGGGGAATCTGCTGGGGTAGGAGGTTTGGAGCAGCCTGACCTGCTGTCCACAGAGCCTATGCTGTCCACAGGGCATGTTTCAGCTCCTGTTGCAATGCCCGTGGTGGCCATGGGTATTAGTAGCACTGTAGCCTTTGCCCCTGCAACTGCATCCCCATATCCCTGCTGCTTCATGCACACTGCCATAACCAGAAAGCATAAACTCTCTCAGTAAAGGGGCTTGGAGCATGGCAAGGGGGTGAACTTTTCAGCTTAAGGTGCTGCTGGAGGTCTCTGGTTTCTCTGTTCTTCTCAGGCTGGAACAAGCTCCCTCCCACCAGCAGGATGATGGCTGATGTTTTGAAGAAGAAGCGGCTGGTCAAAAGGTGCGTGATGCTCCTGCGCTTGGGGTGCAATGGGCGCTGTGTGCCAGGATAACTCCAGGGAAAGAAGAGCTTTATGACGGTCATGGGAGGGACCCACCTAGGACACCCAGCTCTTCTTGGATGCATTTATTCCCTCACCACCCATAGCAAGGTGGGGAAATGCTGTTGTGGCTCCTTCCTGGATGACAGACCAAGACACCAAGGGCAGGGTGCTCTGGACCAGCTTACAGCAAGACCCAAGGACCTGCAGGTCCCCTCCACCAGGCCTCCAAGCCATGCCCTCATTCCCAGCGTGTCAAGATGGAAGTTTGGTTTCCTCCAGACTAAGGGTGCCATCTCGTGGCTTCTCCCTCCCAAATCCAGACAGCACAGAGCACTGGGGTCAGGGCCAAGACCCATCCAGAAATCCCACTGCAGCCAGGCAATGCAGGTGGGGGGCAGTTTGGTGGCAGTTTTTGACAGGTCAAGATGAGTATTAGACAAGGCTGGAACTCATCCGTCGTGTACGTGGGAGCTAATGTCCTGCCTTGTTGTCACTGGGATTTTACAGGAGGTCGAGATGTGTCCTCAAGGCTGTGGGATGGGTGACAGTAGATGTGCTTCCTTGCAGCAGCTTTTGGGAGCAAGAAGGGGACCTTGGGCCAGGCAGGGTGCAGGCTGAGTTAGATCTCCCAGAAAGGCAGAGCTGGCTCAAAGGACACTGATGAAAACCTGGAACAAAACAGAGCCACAGGGATTGTCACCAGGAGCCCCAGCAATTGCAGACATGATGCTGTTACACAGAAATACGGGAGTCTGAGGTGAAATGGAGCTGAACTCGAGGCTGTCCCAAATTTGCTGAAGCAGATTGAGTACATGTCCTCCCTCTTGCAAGGGAGATGAGGCTTCAAGCAGAAAAATCCTGGAGGTCCCTCACAGCATGGGAAGCTTTCTGCATCTCCCAGTTCTTCCCAGTCCCTTTGGCAGTCTTATCTGTGAATGTCTACTCCTCTACCTCTCAAAATCGGCCAAATCTGCACCTGTGAAACTCAGGGAAGGACGTAGCATGGGTATTTGTGTCATTACAATGATGGCAGCATTATGCTAGAACCGTTTTTGAGGTCACAACTAGGCTGCAGAGGCAAAACAAGCTTCTTCCTACTCCCTGCCCCAGGTAACTGCTGGGGACTAATCCCACAGAGGCTCTTTTGATGCCTTTAGGTTTATTTGGGGCTGAGGGGGCTTGGCCCCAGAGATCAGGGCTTGACTAGTGTCCAAGCCCAGAGCTTTTACTTTCCGTGGAGCTGGGAACTGAGATGGGATGATGCTGTTTGATTTTGTCTCTTTTATGCCCTGTTGAAGGAATCCATCCGAGAGGGAGAACTTGAAGATAAGTTTTATCAGCTACACGGATGAAATTGCTTCCTGTGCTGGTGTAAAGCCCAGCATGCTGAGGCTGCTCCTGACAGACCCTCGGCTGGCCCTGGCCATCTTCTTTGGCCCCTGCACACCCTACCAGTACCGACTGATGGGACGGGGGAAGTGGAGCGGGGCCAGAGATGCCATCCTGACTCAGTGGCAGCGGACACTGAAGCCCTTGAGAACTCGGGTGGTGGATGACTCCTCCGACGGCTCCCATGGCTGGCGCTGGATGTGCTTTCTGGCCCTGCCGGTGACTCTCACAGCAGGTTTCCTCCTCTCTAAATACCCCCGGCTGGGCTGGAGCCCCCGGCCATGTCCCCAGCTGTAGAAGAAACCCGGTGAGGCCCAGTCCCGGGCGAGCTGGGTGCGAAGCTGTGCCGCTGCCAGGTCCTATCAGCGGGGCTGGAGCTGGCCCAGTGCCAGCAGGAGCCTGGACCCTGGCGCTGTCTGGTGTCCAGCCTCCTCCTGCCGATGTTTCACACCCACCAAGGACTGTACGGAGCGTTTACCCCAAACCTGCTGCAATCCATGCCCGCGTTGCACCAGCACCAGGCTGGATCTCCAGAGGGCTTTTGGGAAGAGCCATTCTGGGACAGGCTGGTGTGCAGGGGGCCAGCCTTCCTCCCCCTCCTGCCGCCCAGAGCTTCATCCATAAAATTTCAGCAAGACCCACAACATCATGAGATTTTCTGAAACACTGACTGTAGAGATCTTTGTATTTATCTAGTAACTTTTGGGACAGGAAGTAGAGAGCCACAAATAAACCTCATGGATTTGGTCTTCTCTGATGTTTTTATTAATGGTTTATTATAAGTAGTGGGGGGGTCAAGTGGACCCAGT